TTTATTTTCAAATAAGCAGACGCTGTGGAGAAGTACATTGGTGAGTCAAGGAATTTTATTTTACGTTTCTTCTTGTCATTTTATTTCGTTAGTATTAAATTCATGGTAACGAAATAAAATGACAAACGTGTATCAAATAAATCTGCTCACCTGCAATTTATAATGGCGCATTGTAGTCACCTTCGTGCACGAAAGTTCGTTCAATCTCAGCTGTTAGTCAGTTATTAGTTAGTCAGTTATGTCAGTTATTTGCTGTTGTATCGCCGATTTTCAAAATGCAAATGATCTGTTTATTTTCAAAGAATAGTTTGTTTTGTTATTGTTTGGTTGGTGTCTTATATGAAACTGCAACATTGCGCAATTTATTGGACAGACTTGTTTAAGATCACACAGCGTAATTTGGGTGGCATTTTATTTCGTATTTTTAAATCATTTTTTTATTTTTGACTATCTGTAAATTTAGTTTCCTGCTCTTAATTGTGAATGCATACTTGATGGTTTTAAATGCTCCTGAAATTAAGTGCTGCTTGACGAGCCTATACAGTATTGTGTTCATGTATGTGACGACACTGAAGGCCTAAGGTTGAAATGCACGGCCCGCCACTGCCTACGAGGGAAACCGTTACGAGAATGTGGCCCGCGACAAAAACGAGTTTGACAACCCTGCTTTGGAGGACCTGAATTCTTGGATCTGAATATTATGTGTACATGTATGTGGTCATGGATGCGTGTGTGGCTATATATACCTGTAGACATCATTCTCAATGCCTAACAGGTCGTAGGCCATTGCCTGAAGAGTGAGCTCATGTAGAAGAGGTGACACAGGATCAAATCCTCGGTCCAGGATGATTAGTTGACTCCGGCACTTATCTGGTCCCTGGAGGAATCCAGTACGGAAACAAAAGACTATACACATTATATGGAGATTTTCCTTCATTAGCAGAGTAAAATCATCAAAACAATGTGATCACCAATAATTTTGCAGAACCATGTCTGCACTTCAAAATCCTGTGAATATACTAAATATATATGTGTACAGAATGTAATACATAATATGGACTCTCGGCACAATTGCCAGACATAAAGACATTGTATTCACCAATTCACCACAATATTCTTTTTTTTTTGAAGAAGTGAACGAATGATTTGGATTCACAACAGACTAGTCTCTAAGAACCTTAGACCAGCCTAGTCTTTTCCAAACATCATGCATCATGCACAGAAGAATTAATTGCTGCACACATTGTCCACAGTGTAGCAGATCAACCTAAAATGTTGTCAACTTACAACTGTTCCTACAGTTAGTATGTATGGGTGCTGTAAATGAATGGCTACCTATTGCCTTTTTTTTTTTTGTTCATCTACTATCTATCGCCCACCTCCCCCATGCTGGGGTCATCAGCCTTGTAGCCATCCAACTTGTCCTGTAGCATTTGGGCCAGAACAGCGCAGTCTTTGTACTCTCTGAATAACACAAAAAACAAATACAGTACAATTTTGAGAGAGGTGGGTTGTTTTTTTTTCCCAAACTGTTGTAATCCTGACCCCCCCCCCCCGCCCCAAAAACACACAAAGAAAATAAAAAAGCTAAACAGTTATTGCCATTCGGTGCTATAATGCAGGGGCCCCCAACCTTTTTTGCCCCACGGACCGGTTTATGTCAGACAATATTTTCAGGAACCGGCATTTAAGGTGTGGTGGAAATAATACAACAAAATAATAAGATAAGATAAGAAAACCTTTATTAGTCTCGCAATGGAGAAATTCCCAATTCACAGCAGCAAAGTTATGAAAGGAAGAAGTAGAACAACAAAATATAGGAGCTGCTGTAAAGGCAG